TTAGGCTAAAAAGTTTTTAAAAATGGATGCATTTCTATCATTATTTATGAAGGAAAATTAATTTTTCACTGTACCACAAACATACAGAATAGGCTTATTCCGTCTTGCTATCTATAGCCAAACCTTTGGTCTACCTCTCAAACAATCAATGTTTATAAAACGGCATGTGATCGCCATCACACTGCCAAACATCGGGAATTCAAAATTGTAACAGCCAAGATATCATTTGAAGAGTTAGAAATGATGTTCTTGTGCCATCCAGGAAATTATCGGAGGTTTTCAATGTCAACATCTGACATTAAGGGCCCATGTATGATTCTCAAGGACAATTAAATTTTGTAGAATGTTCCCATACTTCAAATCTTGGAGAAATTTTTTGGTTTCACCTATTTTAGAATAAAGAATAATTAATCAATCAAGGTGTCATAGGTTTGAGCCAGTACCTATTCTACTCGGGAATAACAAATGTCTATAATGGACCAAAACAAATCCTACCTACCCTACCTAATCCTGGAGAGCATGTTACCCTAACAACACAATTTTTTAAACAACAAGTCACTGATACCTGTTTTACACTATACAATAAGCCAGTTACATCAGTTCGCAAATGGCTGCTTGTACATAGATTTACATATACACATGAAAAATATAATCTATCTGTATCTATCGTCCATTAATGTCAAACACCAGGGACATAGACATGTTGAAATATTATGTCTTCAGTCGGACATTGTAAAATGAAACCTAATGGGAAATGATATATAAACAAGAGGGCCATGATGGCCCTAGATCGCTCACCTGACTTATCAAACTCATCCAAACAATTACCTAGACAAGCATTCTGACCAAGTCTCATGACAGGTGAGTAAAAAATGTGACCACTACAGTATTAACAATGATTATCCATATTTGAGCAGTGCGACCTAGTTTTTTACCCAGGTGACACATATTCAAACTTGACCTAGAAATCATCAAAACAAACATTCAGACCAATTTCCAGGATACTTGGATCAAAACAGTAGCAACTAGAGTGTTAACAGATTTTTTCTATTTTTAGCTCAGGTGACCTAGTTTCACATGCGATTTCGAACTCATCCAAGCAATTACCTAGACAAGCATCCTGACCAAGTTTGATGATAATTGAGTCGAAAATGTGACCACTAGAATGTTAACAAGGTTTTTTCCATATTTGGGCGGTGTGACCTAGTTTTTCATCCAAGATGACCCATGTTCGAACTTGACTTAGAAATCATCAAAACAAACTTTCAGACCAATTAACAGAATATTTGGATCACAACAGTAGCCACTAGAGTGACACTGTGTTAACAAGATTTTTCTATTTTTAGCTCCGGTGACCTACTTTTTCATCCGAGATGTCCCATGTTCGATTTATTCCCAGCAATGACCTAGACAAGTTTCCTGACCACGTTTAATGACAATTGAGTCAAAATTGTGACCACTAGAGTGTTAATAAGGTTTTACTATTTTTAGCTCTGATGACCTACTTTTTCATCCGAGATGACCCATGTACGAACTCATCCGAGCTATCACCTATACAATCATCTTGATCAAGTTTGATGATGATTGATGCAAAAATGTGACCGCTAGAGTGTTAACAAGGTTTTTATATTTTTAGCTCCGGTGACCTACTTTTTCATCCGAGATGACCCATGTTCAAACTCATCCGAGCTGTCACCTAGACAAACATCTTGACAAAGTTTGATGATGACTGATGCAAAAATGTGACCACTAGAGTGTTAACAAGGTTTTTCTATTTTTACCTCCGGTGACCTACTTTTTCATCCGAGATAACCCATGTTCAAACTCATCCAAGCTATCAACTAGATAAGCATCCTGACCAAGTTTGATGATGACAGGGCTTTTTTTCACAGTTTGGGGAAGCAGCCCAGCCCTTAATTTTGGGGAAAAATTACACAGTATATTTGCAAAAGGGGAAGAAAAAACTTGATGTAAATTCAATTTTTGGGGAAAACTGCATGATTTTAAAGAAATTTTCTTTGGGGAAGCAGCCCTATACCGGCCCCTGTTATAGAAGGTAAAAAGGCCCTGGATGATTGATGCAAAAATGTGACCGCTAGAGTGTTAACAAGGTTTTTCTATTTATAGCTCCGGTGACCTAGTTTTCTATCCGAGATGACCAATATTCGAACTCATCCGAGCTATTATCTAAACAAGCATCCTGACAAAGTTTGATGATGATTGGGTCAAAAATGTGACCACTAGAGTGTTCGCAAGGTTTTTCTATTTTTAGCTCCTGTGACCTAGTTTTTCATCAGAGATGACCCATGTTCGAACTCATCTAAGCAATTGACTAGACAAGCAATCTGACCAAGTTTGATGAAGATTGGTTCAAAAATGTGACCACTAGAGTGTTCACAAGGTTTTTCTATTTTTAGCTCCGGTGACCTTCTTTTTCATCCGAGATGACCCATGTTCGAACTCATCCGAGCTATCACCTAGACAAACATCCTGACCAAGTTTGATGATGATTGGGTCAAAAATGTGACCTCTAGAGTGTTCACAAGGTTTTTCTATTTTTAGCTCTTGTGACCTAGTTTTTAATCCGAGATGCGACATGTTCGAACTCATCCGAGCTTTCAACTAGATAAGCATCCTGACCAAGTATGATGATGATTGAGGCAAAAATGTGACCGCTAGAGTGTTCACAAGCAATTGTGGACGTACAACGGACGGACGGACGACGGACATTCACCGATCCTAAAAGCTCACCCTGAGCAAGCTCAGGTGAGCTAAAAAAATAATAGATATCTGTAAGGTAATGTTGGCCGTTTCTACCTCACTTTGCTTGTTTTCACTACAAACAACTTCTAATTGGGCATTGAAGTCTGTGCAGCAGGCCTTTCCCCCCCCCCCCCCATCCCACAGGTCCGAATATCGGCCCCATTCCCAATCAATGTTTTATTTCCCAATCCAAAAAAAAATTCCCAATCTAGAAGTCAGCCATTTAAAAGAAAAAGTATCGCATTTTTCAATTTAAATAAAACAGGATTTTTAATTGATATCAGTTTTGCACTTGCAGTGTTTCTCCTAGAGTGTGTTTTTGACACATTCTTTACGGCCTTGACGCAATGAAATTCAATAAGTGCGTTTCCTGTCACGCAGTAATTTATTCTCCATCAATACAGTAAATCTCAAATTATGACAGTTTCAAATCTAGGGCAAACTGTTTTACATATTCAAATACAAATCATGCACTGCTTTTATTTTTACAACTTCATACCTTTGTCCGTTAATCAGACAAAATTCCCTTTCAGTCTGTGCGAAAGTCTGTCGGTCCTCGGACCTCGTCAACTAAAAATCAGGAGGGCCGAGATAAATTTCGATACAGTCAGTCCTCATGTCCGAATAAAATTTTAGCCAGTTTGAAACAATTTTTGGCCTTCTAAAATATGCAAAACTTCCAAGATCGATCTTGCTTGTATTCACAGACCCAGATAACCAAAATCACCGCAAGATACAACCAGTTTTTGCTTAGTAATGTAAGGTGGGTAATTAAATTTATTATTGTTTTCTGTTTATAGAGTTCAAATTATTTTTGTGCTACATTTTCTTTTTTATTTACCTATTTATTTTTCAATGGCTGAACTACATGTATATTGAGGGAAGAGGCTGATAAAATAGCGGTTCCTGTTATCTTATGTTTTTCTTGGTTTATAAAATAAATGGTTTAGAATGACACTCTAAAATTTCAATTTCAAGTGACCCCTAAAATCTTATACAGGGGGTCACGAATAACCCATCCCCCCCCCCAAAAAAAAAAATTGGAGCTGGAAGAAAAACTGCATTTTTACACATTTTAGCCTGTCCTTGTATTTTTGATATGACAGAAAAAGCTGAACATTTTAAGTAAGATTTATTTAGATTCAGTTTAACAATTGTAACACCTTGAATGCTAGCATATTTTCCTAAATTGGCAAATTTCACGATAACTTTTTTTTCCCAAATTGAAAAATTTTACGACACAAATTTCCCAAATTTGCCATGTGTCCCAAAATAGAGGAAAAGTGGCCTGTGCAGAAAAATGCAGATTGTGGTTGGACTAAAAACAAACATGGGCCGCCCATCCAAAATTATCTGGATGTCTTTTTGACAAGTCTAATTGTTTGGACTTCTTAGTTTGCAGAGTTGATGCTGGAGTGGATATCACTGGTGTTAAAACTGATTTACTTGAAGCAGTCAGTTTAAGTTAATCCGACCCAAAGTCAACACGGCCTCAAGTCAATCTGGGCCAAAATTGTCCAGGGTTTGATCCTAGGTTATACCCTTGGGATTTTTCAGTGTTCCCACCGAACTACAGATGTACTGGTAAAAAATCCTGGTAATCCTCGCATGTATCAGTGCTATACACTGGGCATGTAAAAGAACCAAGGGGTCTATTCAATAAGAGCTAGGGACTGCTTCCCTGATTCCCTTGTATCTCATTACTGTCTATGAAGTGACTAGTCTAGAGTCATTTCTATGTCCCCGCGAGGAGTTTGACATTATTGGAAGATAAAGACGAAAAACAAAGCCAAAACGTCCGAAATGGCAACTAGGGGATCTCATAAATGCTGAGTATCGCATTAAATGTAGGCCAGTACATGCTATCAATGATTTCGAGACGTTTCGGCCCCAAGACGTATCGGCCCCAAATTACCCAAGACGTTTCGGCCCCAGACGTTTCGGCCCTTTACCAAATCGGCCCCAGAATAAGTACTGTGTTTTAAACCGGTATATTAATAGCATTTCAATAAATAAATAAATGATTATCTATGGTGTCATTGTCATTATTTGGAGCAATTGTATATGTTACACATTCACAGGATGACTAACAAACTCACTTTCAGTTTCCTTGATACTCTCTGAGTCTAGTTCAAAATTTAAGTTTAAATGCCCATGTGGACACTCGAGGAACTAACGTTAATTTCGGAGACATTTAAGCATGTGGAATTTAACAAAGGTTCAGTATGTGGAATTACCGAACATCCTTTACAAGTGAATTCTAGATCTGTTTTCTGACGTATAGCATCTAGATAGTCTGGCTGTGTAATGCCTATCAAAGAGAGAGAAAAAAGAATTAAAACAAAAGAAAGAAAACCATAACGCAATTTAACCATTTTAAATCATTTTATTTACGTCCTTTTTGGATTTTTCAAACATTCATTCAAATTTTATGACCGACAAAAAAATATTCCGAACAGGTAGGTTAGTTTCTTTAAGTAATATCCTGTTAATCAATTACCGATACGCGTGTCAAACACCACACTTACAGGTAAACAACAGGTCTTATATCAATCAATCAACTTTAAATTCTTTAATACTTAAAAAAAAAACCTATGTACAATGTAGTTTGTTTATCTTTGTCCGTATCAATTACAAAACAATAAATAGCATACTTAGTATAAAACATGTCTAATTATAAATAATATTTTTTATTACCCATGGTGAAGTGTTTGTTTGCTATAATTCAATAATAGTATGACATATTTTTCATTTAGCTTTTAAGGAATTATAAAACGGAATTATACCCTAAGAGGGTGTAAACCATCAAAGATTAGATACTGTTAACTTCAATGTTTATAAATATCTCACAATAAATAGCTACTCGTTATTATTTCCTTGATATTGAAAAATCTAACACATTTAATTATCAGGCAAGGAGAGTTAGTTGTTCATGCACGTGAAAATCGAAACATTCGGTCATATAATTTTACCATGAAAAGAAAACAGACGCCATAATATCAATCAATCAATATACTATAGTAGGGCCGAAACGTCTCGCAGAAAAGGGCCGAAACGTCCAGGGGCCGATTTTTCTACTGGGGCCGATTTGGTTTGGGGCCGAAACGTCCTGCTTGCCCATCAATACTTAGTCCTAATAATAAGACCTATACGTACCCTATTTCATATTTATCATTCATTAATCTGATATTTTACATTTTTCATTTTCCATGTTACGTTAGGTCTTAACAGATCTTTGCAAAATCGTGTAGCAAAAAAATTGACATTAGACATCGTTTTAGATCTAATGAATTTAAACAATTAAAACAGCGTGTATTTACATTAATTTTGACCTATTTATGAACAAAACTAAAAAATGAATACCTTTTAACAAAATAATTGAACTGTCACATCCGAAAAGTCATGTTTAAATTCTCTCATTTAATTAAATTCCTTGTACAGCCGATATACAAATGGCCGCCATACAGTGCGCGAAATCTGATTGGCTAATTCAAATGCAAGCGTTTAAATGATTCCAGAAGTTTCTAACGGAATATTTTTTCAACGAAATAATTGCCCATGCACCGTCAGTGTGTTCGAATATATTTTTCCGTTCAAAAAATTGGATTCAATCTGTAAAACGCCTTATTTAACCAGTATGGCCGATGAGCAAAATAGACTGATATTTATATTTTATTTTTAATTGATAAGTACATTGTTTGAAAGTTTTTGTTAATGATAGACCACACAATTGAAAGAACAGAAGATAAGCTTTTGAATAAAGCTTGAAAGGCAAGTCAACAGACTTTTTTTAATTTTTCAAAATGCTACGCGTTAATGAGCAATAACTATTAGACGTCAGGCTTGACCAACATAAAACTATAACAAGCCTGTAACGTCTAATCTATTGGACTAATCAATACTAAAAGCAAACTTTCATATCATACGGGGAAGTCAAAGTCCGTGCCCGCAAAGCGGGCCGGGGCTTTGGCTTGCCGGCTATAGACTACACGTGTATATTTAAAAGAAAATCAAATAAAAAAACAATTAAAAAATATATAGAATTCTATACCTATCAATGAAATTTTCAGTGTCAGTTCTAGTTAGGTGCCGCCATTTACATTGTAACCCAACGATAAAAGGTGGTGTATTCCGATAACGAAACAAATCTCAACTTTTCGGATAAATAATAATCGTCGAGTGATCCGAGTGAAAACGGAAGCGGGTTAATATAATACCGAATGACACAATTAAAACGGAAAAAATGAAAAGGACTTTTACTGACTTCCCCGTTCATAGGCTTTGCCTAATTTCATATTAAAACAGAGCCCTACAGAAAGCTCTTGTTTTCTGCCTATATTTGGTAGCAAGACACTTCACCCTCCAGACACTTTACCCCTCAAATTTTGAAGACACTTCACCCCTTAAGACACTTCACCCCTTAAGACACATCACCCCTCATCCAATTTTTCCCTAATTAATTTGACCTTAAAAAGTTTTGTCGCGAAATTATGTGTCATTTGACAATTTGTGAGCTTATCCTTTCACAAAGAGATAATAATGAAGCGCATCAATTTGATTAGCTTTTATTTATTCCATATCTATAAAATCTTAATGCATTGTGATCATTTATGTTTAAATTTTAAGAAATACGAAGCAAAATTTTAACAAACCATAGAGGCCGACATTTTTGTAATCTCAATTCCAAATTATAAATTAAATGTCAATCATAGATATCAATATTGATAAATAAAATGCATTTATTTTCAAAATATTAGAAAAAAAAACATCAAAATATTTTATTAGAACCAATACATTTACCACTTAAGCTTTGTTACTTTTGTTAGAGACTATAATATCGACCTTGTCCGGCTGAAGCTCGTGATGCTGCGTAAACAAAAACGGAAGATCAATCTTTGAAAAGTAAAATGAATCCACCACAAGTTACACTGAAGGTAACTAGATTTATATAGAATTTGTACTATTTGTATGTCAGTTTATGGAAAATATCTGTCGTTCAAGAAACTTTAACGTTCTAATAGGTTGTACCTATTTTTCATTTTCACTTTTACAACTAGAGATGATGTATCCACATACTGCCAGTTTTCAATCACAACCACTTTTCAATCACCCCTAGAAATTTTTTATTTTTAGCTCACCTTGCACAAAGTGCAGGTGAGCTTTTAGGATGGCCAACCAAATGGCGTCCGTCGTCAGTCGTCCGTCCACATTTTAAATATTCTAAGGACATCTTCTATGATACCGCAAGGCCAATGTTAATGAAACTTGGCAGGAATACTCTTTGTATAAAGCTCTATCAAGATTGTTCAAAGAATTCCATTTCATGCAGAACTCTGGTTGCCATGGCAACCGAAAGAAAAATCTTTAAATATCTTCTTTTAAAGAACCGTAAGAGCTAGTGCTTAGATATTTGGCATGAAACATCTTCTAATGAGTGTCTACCAAGTTTGTTCAAATAAAAGCCCTAGGGTCAAAATTGGCCCCGCCCCAGGGGGTCATTGATTTTCCCTATATGCATATAGTAAAAACTTAAAAAATCTTCTTTTAAAGAACCCAAAGAGCTAGAGCTAAGATATTTGGCATGAAACATCTTCTAGTGAGTGTCTACCAAGTTTGTTCAAATAAAAGCCCTGGGGTCAAAATTGGCCCCGGCCCGGGGGGTCATTGATTTTCCCTATATGCATATAGTAAAATCTTAAAAAATCTTCTTTTAAAGAACTGTAAAAGCTAGAGCTTAGATATTTGGCACGAAACATCTTCTAGTGAATGTCTACCAAGTTTGTTCAAATAAAAGCCCTGGGGTCAAAATTGGCCCCGCCCCAGGGGGTCATTGATTTTCCCTATATGCATATAGTAAAAACTTAAAAAATCTTCTTTTAAAGAACCCAAAGAGCTAGAGCTAAGATATTTAGCATGAAACATCTTCTAATGAGTGTCTACCAAGTTTGTTCAAATAAAAGCCCTGAGGTCAAAATTGGCCCTGCCCCAGGGGGGGTCATAGATTTTCCCTATATGCATAATTATAGTAAAAACTTAAAAAATCTTCTTTTAAAGAACCCAAAGAGCTAGAGCTAAGATATTTGACATGAAATATCTTCTAGTGAGTGTCTACCAAGTTTGTTCAAATAAAAGCCCTGGGGTCAAAATTGGCCCCGCCCCGCGGCGTCATTGATTTTCCTATATGCATATAGTAAAAACTTAAAAAATCTTCTTTTAAAGAACCGTAAGAGCTAGAGCTTAGATATTTGGCATGAAACATCTTCTAGTGAATGTCTACCAAGTTTGTTCAAATAAAAGCCCTGGGGTCAAAATTGGCCCCGTCCCAGGGGGTCATAGATTTTCCCTATATGCATATAGTAAAAACTTAAAAAATCTTCTTTTAAAGAACCCAAAGAGCTAGAGCTAAGATATTTAGCATGAAACATCTTCTAATGAGTGTCTACCAAGTTTGTTCAAATAAAAGCCCTGGGGTCAAAATTGGCCCCGTCCCAGGGGGTCATTGATTTTCCCTATATGCATATAGTAAAAACTTAAAAAATCTTCTTTTAAAGAACTCAAAGAGCTAGAGCTAAGATATTTAGCATGAAACATGTTCTAATGGATGTCTACCAAGTATGTTCAAATAAAAGCCCTGGGGTCAAAACTGGCCCCGCCCCGGGGGTCATTGATTTTCCTTATATGTGTATAGCAAAAACTTAAAAATCTTCTTTGAAAAAACCCAAATAGCTTGAGTTTAGATATTATACATGAAACATCTTTAAGTAAATATCTACAAAGTTTGTTCAAATAAAAGCCCGGGGGTCAAAACTGGCCCTGCCCCAGGGGTGTCATTGTTTTAACTATATGTGTATAGTAAAAACTTAAAAAATCTTCTTTTAAAAAACCCAATGAGCTAGAACTTAGATGTTTAGCATGAAACATCTTCTTATGAGTGTCTACCAAGTCTGTTCAAATAAAAGCCCTTGGGTAAAAATTGGCCCGGGGGGGGGGCTATATACAGGTGAGCGACCTCAGGGCCATCATGGCCCTCTTGTTGACCTTATTTGTCATGTAACCAAACTGTAAGCACATCTTGTATTCACCTTGACTAAATTTATCAGCAGCAATGTCAATTATGGCGATAAAAAAGAAAAAGCTAGCATTTTAGTTCAAAATATGTAAAATGTATGTTTTCCACTAATCCTTTATTTACCCAGTTACAAATCGCAATAATTTTCTAAAAATAATTGATTTACAGACTCAGTTTTTAGTCAGTGTGCAGAAATGGATATTAAGTTGGACAACTGTTTCAATATCATGAAGTCATAATGTAAATTATGTATACTGCACTTCAAAAGGGGTTTGCCTAAAATACGAAAGTGAGCGAAAGTGAGCGAAAGTGACTTTTAAA